AGAACACATAGGCCATTAAGTTTTTTTTTTAATTCCTCGCAAAAATTAAACGAGTATTCAAAAAAAGAGTCTGAACTTTTTGTGCCAAACATTCTTATGGTTATATAATGCTATGTAGTAAACTAGCCTTATAGAGTTAGTTGCCATATAAAGTCTACAAATTGATGTATAAAGCCGACTACACAATTCAGTTTTTACTGAACATTCCGACTGTTCAGTAAAGACTGAACGTTTGTAGCCAGCTTTAACTGTAGCAATGCTAATGTGCACCTTATTCAGCTGTACATACTCTAAGTATTTGGTTTCCGACGCACATTTTCTGTTTGGAAATTAAGGAAATTGCTTATTACGCGTGAATGCAGTTACATGTAAGTCATAAGAAATAGCGTATTTATTAAATAAAATTAGTAGGTCATAGTTGCTTTTTAAATGCTGATTGCTAATTGCGTAATTTTCTTTGAATAAAAGCAAAATGTTTTCATTTTATTTATTTAATGTTTGCATTTTGTTCCGATAATACAGTTGGAAACAACAACTAGCTGTCGCCTGCGATTCAGTCGGCGTGAATTAAAAAAACTTAATTAGTAGCCTATGTGTTCGTGTGTCCGTCCAACCGTTCTGAAGATACCTAATAACAAACATCTATACATCCATATATTAGTGTTTTATAATATTATTAAGATTGTTTTTAAATACGGGGTTTCGAATTGCCATTCGACTATTGTCGTAAACTATGTCCTAGCACAAGCATAGAGCTTAGTCGGAATGGTACAAGAAATATTGGTAAATTAACAAAAAAATCTGCTGATATTAAGGTAAAATGCAGATAAAACAAAAAAAGGGTGTGCCAGGATCGCATTTAATTTAATTGGATAATCAGAATACTTGTCTTATCCTTGAATACTTTATGTAAATTAATATTCTCGTCGCTACCGCTTATTCTTTGTACCAAAAATGTCTACAAATGCGTATAATTTTTTGTCATATTTCATGCAATACACGACTTAAAGATATGTACTTAAGGGTTAATTTCGCATGCACATATTCCCCAAGGTTAATATTTCAATCTGTATTTTTTTTAATAAAAGTCTAGACATTGTTCAATAAAAATATCTTCCTGGAGATTCTTTATTTACTGGATAATATTATAGTCTTTAATACTTAATACGAGGTTTATTTCCAATAAATTAACATTAAAAGCTTTAATAGTCTTTGTGGCCATCTTTGAAAGTAGTCAGTTGATCCTGTACCATATTACAGTGGAAGAATTTAATTCGCATCCCACTTTAAATCGAATGATATAAAACAAAGTGTTACCATAAGGACGCGGGCTTAGAACAACTTAGCACGTATATACGTATGACAAATTTTCTACCTTATTGCATTGTACAGGACTGTCTATTCAGACAAAGTGCACTTCGAAGCGATTCCATAGCGAACTTCAAAAATGTTTAAAACTGACGCGCGACAATCACGTGACATCAAAACTTCGTTTCAGTACTGTACAGTCAGCTGCATAAATATATGCACATTTATAAAACTTTAGAAACTTATATAGGGCTTTTGTTTTATAAATGTTATCCACATATCCGTCAATATTAAGTATTCATGGTTGGAAGTATATGGGCGAATACATTAATTGATATCTTTAAAAAAAAGCTTTTACAGGTTTCTAAAGATATATTTTGTACTTATTTGTAGCTGACTGTATATATACTTTTAGTTATGTTTATTACAATGTAACATGTAACTTTAAAAGCTGGATCGTTTTGAAAATGGTTTTATTTTTTCTTACATTCTTCTCAAAAGCATTTTAATATCATCATGGTTATTCTGTGTGTATGTATATCTCACACTACGCGGGATAAAACAGATTTTCCTTCGAATCAATATATTTTAGTAGTATTATACGTTAATTAGAATCCTTTGGCGCGAACGGAGCGGATGCCAAATCAAGTGTAAGAATGATTAGTGAGGGGACATAGACGTCGACATTTTAGTAAGGCTAGTGTTGCGTCAGAACACCGGCACAGTTTCGGATTTTCTTCCTAACAGTAGTCACTTCCTTCTGATTCAACTTTCAGGCAATTAATCCATCTCTTCTTAGGCCTACTCTTATTATTAGTAGTCTGGATATGTTATGTTCTTTTTTTTAAATTAAATATTGCTTAATTATAGTTACTTAGATGATACGATTAAATCATATATTAATATTAGCTATCGCCCGCGACTCCGTCTGCGCGGAATTAAAAAAAAAACTTAATAAGCCAATGTGTTCTTCCAGACTATGTTTTACATCTGTGCAAAATTATATCAAGTTTCGTTGAGATACCTTCTTATATCCATCCATCTAAACATTCGCATTTATAATATTATTAATATTTAAATGTTTATGTACGTGTGTAAATAGAATTATTTCAAATTAAGGTCATGTTTATTGCAGTCTTTAGAGTAAGCAATTATCCGTCACCGCAAGAAAATACGAGCACAATTATATATTTTAATGATACTATATACAAAGTTTATCGTCACGTCGACATTTATATGGAATTTTATGACAATCTATGGCGAAATATTCCATTCCAAGTAATTTAAACCTTTTTCCCTACGCACGGGAGAGTAATGATTAATGTTCTGTCCATTCTTACCTATAACTTTGTTGATTTTGCAGCGAGGACTATATTTGTTACTTAGTTAGCTTTGTTAGCGACATCCACGGGTAATTAGAAAAAAAAACTTAAATAGTAGGCAATGTGTTCTTCCAGACTACGTTTTTTTTTATATCATAAGGTGGCAAACGAGCGAGCGGCCACCTGAAATCACTGAAATAGCGAAGTGACCGTTGCCCATAGTCATACGCAATTGTATATGCGTTGCCTACCTTTAATCGACGGAGGAAAGGATGCACAGAGAGAAAATATTTTCACTTTGCATGCATCCTCTCACCCGGAAAGTTCACTTCCACTTCCCATCCTTCCATTATAAGAAAAAGGGTGGGAAGGGAAATAGGACTAAATTAGACCTCCGGGACACATATTCATCAGACGAAACGCGGAATAGCTTGCACATCACGCCCGTCATCTGTGCGGTCGTGGTAATTCACCGGGCGAGCCGGGCCAATTCGTGCGAAGATGTTAAAGCGGGCTCTACCACTGTTAAAATGTTCTACATCCCTGCCAAATTTCAAAGATTACTTTTTTTTATGCAAGTTAAAGCAAAGGCATGGTTTCGCGATGTAGAAAGTTTTGCACTTTCATAGAATTTTATGTCAAATATGACGCAGTAATTTCGTGACAACTGGTTATTCAGTGAAATACGTTGTTTCGCAAACTTTTCCCGTTTTAACAGAACTCGCGCGTACTTGATAAGGATCTGTCGGTTATCTAAGGCGAATGAACTGAACGAAACCGTTTGGTATTCTGAGAGACAGGATGTTTGGATTTCGCCAAATATTTGGTTAACGTGTTTAGTTAAGGAAGTGTTTGTATTTCCTAAAAACTCATTAACACCTTCGAAGTTTTTTAACGCTTTTTATGTTACATTATTCTTTTCATCTATTTCTTCGAAGAGAATTAGAACGAAAGCTTTTTTGCATGTTTTAACAGTGGTACTTCCATTTTAATTCCATTTTGAGCAAATTTTATGCATATCGGTACATCGCGGCGTATGTAAATCGACTTTACAATTAGAATTTTAATGCAAGAAATGAATTATTATGATAAAAGATAATACAACGAGCATATTTGTATGCATTTGATATTGTGACAAATTAAATTACCATTTATAATACCCAACGAAAAGTTGGCACGTCGGGTAGTAGAGTACACTTGTTGTTGATGTGCCATCTATATTAAGTATAACACAATTTTATGTTAACGTCTCCTTTAGTTTCTAAGACTTACGTTGCCTTGTCCAAAGAGTGTTATGTTAAGTTTAAAATTGATTAAACGTTTTATTAACATACTTAAAAGCTTCCTTTTTGGCTATACGTATTGTTTGATTAATTAGCGTATGTATAGTGACCGAGAGATCACAACTTGTACGTTAATTCTCGGAATGTAAAGATTTTATCTTAACCGATTATGAAAATTTCCACACACAGTATCAGGGGTACGGACACCAGTGACGGTAGTGTAAAAAACCAGAAAACCAAGCATGCCCTACCATAGTCATCGTCTCATTTAGTGACTAGCCCTTAATCAACCACGCTTACATTAATTCATGTTGGTTGACTTCACAAACATTTTTGTTTTATTTCGCAGATATGCTAGTGGCCTAGAGTAATAACTTGCGAGTGATTATTCGTAACGTTAGAAATACATAGTCGACAAAGATGTTTTCCTCCACAGTCAAAAATCCAATAACTAATCTGTAATTTTTATTAATAGAAATAGTTTCAACAACGTGTCATACTTGAAGGTTACTAGAAATGTAGAAGTGAAAACTCTTTTGAAATCCATTTCTGCTGCAACAGCCCTAAACAGGAAACCTTTAGTTCCTTTTTCGACTGAATTAGTAAACGCGTGATTCTAGCCGTCTAATGAAAAAAAAACGACTTATTCCAAACAACTTTTATTTAAACTGATATAAAAACGGCTAAACACTCACGTATATTCGTCCGGTGGCGGCACAGACTAGTTTCGAGCCCATCGGGGGCCCTTCATCTGGATGAAGGGCCCCCGATGGAGCCGCCACCGGACAAATATAGGTGAGTGTTTAGCCGTTTTTATATCAGTTTAGTATAATGTCTCACGAAAGTTTGAATAATTTAACTTTTATTTAGGTACACAACGGGAAGCGTCGATTAATGAGTAAATTATAAAACTGAGTTTCCACTGCCATTACAGCTCAATAAAAACATGTCATCTAATTAAATTACTGTGTTAGTACTTGGATATGTTGTTAAAACTCAGTTCCAGTGTGTAATGTGTAAAAATGTGTAATACGTGACTGTGTGTAATATGTATACATTGTGTAATGTGTAACTGTATTTTTATCAGGACGCCTGGCGGTGGTCATGTTCAGCATTTGCACCGTGGTACTTGGAATCATCCTATCCTTCGTGCCCTGGCTAGACTACATCATATTTAGAGTGAGTATGCATTTTTTGATATTTTTTTTATATCAAAAGGTGCCAAACGAGCAATCGGCCACCCGAAATCGCTGAAATAGCGAAGTGACCGTTGCCCATAGACAGACGCAATCGCATATGCGTTGCCTACCTTTAATCGACGGAGGAGAGGATGCACAGAAAGAAAATATTTTCCCTTCCCATGCATCCTCTCATCCGGAAAGTCCACTTCCACTTCCCATCCTTTCCTTCTAAGAAAAAGGGTGGGAAGGGAAAGAGGACTAAATTAGGCCTCCGGGACGCACACTCATCAGATGAAACGCGGAATTGCTTCCACTTGACGCCTGTCTTCTGTGTGGTCGTGGTATTTCACCGGGCGAGCCGGGCCGATTCATGCGAAGATGTTAAAGCGGGCTCTACCACTGTCATATTTAAAAAAACAATCTCCATTGGTTAACCACTTCGTCGCTGCCAAAATATTGTACTAATATGTCTATGTATGTAATTCAGGAGCTTCGGTTATGGAATGGTTCCCTGAGCTACAGCTACTGGCAGAAACCTGGCGTGGTGCGGCTCACAAAGGTCTACATCTTCAACGTCACAAACCCGCACGCCTTCATCGAGAACGGAGAGAAACCAAAGCTGGCTGAAATTGGACCATTTGTGTACAGGTAAGCATTTTTGATGTTATAAAATAAACAAAACATCAAACAATTTGAGTTGTTACGTTTTTATTGAGTTTAAAATAACGTTACACGTAAAAAAAAACCTTAATTAATAAACAACCAGACTGTCTAAGACTCTAATAGATGAAATCATCCCATATCTTATCTGCGTTTTGAAACAATTAATTTTACTTGACAGTCAAAGACGTTGGCCATTTTTTTCGCGCGTATATAAGTTTTTTAACTGTTGCTTGAAGGCCTAGAGCCTAAACGAATGTCAACTAGATGGCGCTGTTTTATCTGTTTGATCCAGTCAGTCAGATTTTTAGTTTTTTTTTTTAATTAAATTTAGGTTATTTTTCTACATTTATCTTCTAGTCGTAGACAAATAATATTATTTTAATAAAAATATGTCTTACACGTCTTAAAAACTAAATTAATACAAATATATAAGTAATAAATTAGGTTTAGTTTCCAAATATCTAATTGCTGGCGTCAATTTTTGTTCGTGTTTTGTTTAACACATAATTTTATTATGCAAATCCTCGCTTTATGATACATTCGAAAAATAACAGTGCAAATATTTATATTTAATTAATTACCATACAAATGTCTTATTAATTCGAGTATTAACAGGAAAAATGTAATACAAATCTTTTTCATAAAAAATGTTTTTTTAAAGATTTTCATTAAATCAAATTTATTAGAGAACCAGTTGTCCTAAAAGTCATCTTCAGCCAAAGCAACCTTATAAAATCATTATTTTATTTCTATTTAAATAACATACAAAAATATAAACACACACAACTATTTTATCATTCGCTTATAAAATATTTCCAAGCACCTTAGTTGGTCGAATGTATTACACAGTAAATCGCATGATTTCCACACATGATAATTGTACACTCATCGTCATATTTATAAAGAAAATATTAAATTTATTTTCATCCATAAAATGTCAATAGATGGCGTCATTTTAAATCTGTAAAAATGCTTTATAAATAAACAAAATACACAAAAAGTCACATTTAAAACAAAGCCAATTAACCTTAAAATTGTTACATTCAATTATTATTAAGTATTAACGTTATTTACACGGCTTATTCCAAAAACTAACTCATATTTTTTCTGTAACGTCGCCCAATAGGTTAACTTAGTAACACTAAGCGTATATACGCAAATATATATATAAATTATATTTCTGCATTTTGTTAGAGAAAGAAAAGAAATGAAATTAGAAACATTTAATTTCTTTTCTCAATGATATTAATTTTCAAAGAATGTAATCTTCTAACTCACTTGTCTACACGATTGTACAAGTTATGAGCACGCTCGGGGCCCAGTTTACTGTCGTAATACTTAAACTGGCTCTAACACTTGCCCAATACGATTTCGCGTATACACTTTTTCTCTAAAATTCTAAGATTTTTACAATTATAGTAACATCCCTACTCATCTACAAAAGTTACACTTTTGTCTATGGTATTATACCTAAATTAGAATTTACAAAAAGAGACATGTCTTATCCAATAACTAGCTGTCGCCCGCGACTCCGTCCGCGCGGAATTGAAATAAAACTATTGGTCGCACCATAATGTTATATAGCCTCAAGCCTTCCTCTATTGGAGTATCTAACAAAAAAATTATTTTTTCAAATCGGACCCGTAGTTCCTGAGATTAGCGCGTTTAAACAAACTCACCCGCTTTATAATATTAGTATACCCCAACAGACCATAATTTAAATAAAAGAAATGCTAAAGTATATTAAATATATATATTTCCCGCTTAATTTACTTTAAACGTATAGTTAAAATTTTACTAAAGTTAAAAATAAATGCGTACACATATAAACAGATATAAGTTGAACTGTTTAATATATTAAAATTTATTCTTTTGTAACATCGCAAACAAATTAATCTTTCATGCTTAACGTCAACGCAAAGAATCTATGCAACATTTGTATTTAAACTAAAATATAATAGTGTTAACATTATAAAAAATACAGCACGCAATAAACCATAGAACAGAACACAATTATAGAATAGACACTAATCTCTATAAATGGACGGGCTATAAGACGTAGTTTTTGTGCCTATTTGATTTGCGCCATTTTAGCGCTGATGGTTACGGCTTGTAACAGTGGTGTATATTCCAACAAATAATATAGAATATAGATAATATTAACTATCACATAACATCAACAGGCGCGTTTAAATCTGAACAAGCTATTTTCTAAGCAATCGCCTATCTTATATATAAAATTCTCGTGTCACAATTTTCGTTCCCATACTCCTTTGATACAGCTTGACAGATTCTCATGAAATTTTGTGAGCATATTGAGTAGGTCTGAGAATCGGCCAACATCTATTTTTAATCCCGCGCGGACGGAGTCGCGGGCGACAGCTAGTCTATTTATAGAGATCAATAGAAATAGGTCTCAAGATTTAACCGTAGGATACATTAAGTTTCAAAGCATATATCGTGTGACGTATACTAATGTGTTTCAAATTCGAACTTCGCTTACAAATTTATTTTTTTCAGAGAGGACATGGAAAAAGTAAATATCAAGTTCCACGACAACGACACGGTGACTTTTCAACACAAGAAGATCCTGCGCTTCGTACCCGAGATGTCCGTCGACAAAACGCAGAAACTACTAGTGCCAAATATACCGCTGCTGGTAAGAACCATAGAGAATCATAACACCATAGATCTATAGAACTATAGAATAAAACCATAGACAATTTAATAGTAGTAGAGCCCGTAACAACGTCATGGTCGCCGGCTCGTTTAGCGCATTAAATTATAAAAATATAGAACTATAAAACCGTAAAACCAGAAAAAAACAAAGATTTAATTAAGTCCGTTTCCAAATCTATTAGATTTCTTTATACAGGATGTGTTACAATTAATTGGGTTCAACAAATAACTTACGAAATATGACAACTAAATGTCGCTGCGCCATCAGTAAGTAAAAAAACTTAGGAGTGGATACATCTATCTATATATATAAAAGAAAATCGTGTTTGTTACACTATTTATAACTCAAGAACGGCTTTACCAATATGGCTGAAAATTGGTGAGGAGGTAGTATAAAGCCAGGAGACAGACATAGGATACTATTTTTTCTTTTTTTCGAATTAATGCCTTAAAGAACTGCTTTTTATTTAACTTACTAATATTATAAATGCGAATGTTTAGATGGATGTGATGTGGATGGTTGGATGGGTGCTCTACTCTATCTCTCTATCTATATATCTACGCGGACGGAGTCGCGGGCGACAGCTAGTTGCATATAAAGGGGGGTCGAAACCTAAATATCTATTGATGACGTTTAATGTACGTGCAGTATTTTTCGGTAAATCTAAAGTCACATACTTGATTTTATTACTAAAACTTTCACACACTCGGAACAATCTATACCAGTCTTTCCCAAAGTGGGCAATAACGCCCCCTTGTGGGCGCTGCAGATCTCAAGTTGCGGGTTGTAGTAAAAGTTTCGTTTAGAATCCTCCGTTAATATACATATATAGGTCACAATAATTAATTATAATAATTTAATTTGAAGTTATTGTGGTTTTTAAATATGTGAAAATATGGGGGCGCTAAAAAAATATTTATTCTCAAAGTGGGCAGTAGACAAAATAAGTTTGGGAACCACTGATCTATACCCTTAAGTTGACCTATGTAATAAGTTTCGTCTTGTATATGGATTTTTTGGTTATTTTTTATTTACGGTCAACGAAGCGTTAATGCCTGTAAAAATAAAACAATGAAGATAAATAATAAAAACATATGCATAGCAAAAAATTAGATTCTCATAATTTACCGCATATATATTTGCGGTGTTAGTGGACCTAAATGCGTCACAACTAAATAAATACATTTGTTTACGATAAAAATTTGGGTTTTTTCCTATTTTATTTATTTACGTATTTTTTTTGCTTTATTTAATATATTGTTATAACTATTTTATAAAAGGTAACTTTAGTAACTGGGTTTTCTAAAATCATTTTTTCTAAAAAAATCGTTTAGTCAATATAACTTTTATACTAGCGATCGCTCGCGACTTTATCTTTGCGGAAAACAAGAACACCCTATAATATTCCCGCGTACAGCTACTTTACAATCAACGCCTGTCAAAAACGGTCCAGCCGTTCCGGAGATTACAAGGAACAAACGTTAACTTACAGACAGACGGACATAAAAACAAAAATATTATATATAACAACTAGCTGTCGCGCGCGACTCCGTCCGCGTGTTTGTCTAAAAAATAAAAAAAAATTGGGATCGACTACCCTTAACATTTAGGGGGATGAAAAATAGATTTTGGCCAATTCTCAGACCTACTCAGTATGCTCACAAAATTTCATGAGAATCGGTCAAGCCGTTTCGGAGGAGTATGGGAACGAAAATTGTGACACGAGAATTTTATATATAAGAAGATATATTTTCGCTATAACATACCAGACAACCTAATTTTATTAATATGTAGACTTATATATACAATTCTCGTATCACAATGTTACCATACTCCTCCGAAACCGATCCGGTAATAATAACGGAATAAAAGCCCGAGCCGAGCTTCCTGAGGGAGTCCTCGAGTTTAGTTATTCTTAAACGAGGTTTAGGCTAAGCGCCATCTGCGCTCGGCCACCTCAAGACCGGTGAAGCTGTAAATGCCTCCTCAAGGCAAACAGTGGCATTTCAATCACAAAAAAAACTCCTTTTTTGAAATTTTTGTGACATTTTATCTGTATATTCAGTAGGTCTGAGAATCGGCCACTCTATATTTTAATCCCGCGCAAACAGAGTCGTTAGCGACAGCTAGTTATTGTTTTAAAAACATCGATATAGTTCATAGAGTAAAACTCGTCAAAATAAATTCAAACAGTCCAAGGTTACTTCCTTGAAATCTATCGGAATAAAGAATTGATATGTTTATATGCAATTCATTTACATTGTATTCACAAAATAATTAGACATAATTTACATTTTCCGGAGATAATTGTTGTTTTCGGTCAGTATTACAAGATTCAAACTTTATAACGGCTCGTGGTTAGCTGTCAAAAATGTCTACGTGTGGGCCAATGTGGATGGAGGAAAGCGCGCGAAATTGCCAGCCGCCATTATCTTTGAATGACATACGGCTTTTAGATTATTTTGGCGTAAATTTTTATTAATTATATTAATCCGATAATATGGATGGATGTACCTGACTGAGATAAGAAACAAGGATAGATCTAATATAGTGCATAGACAACTTAGTTGTTTTTTTTAAATCCAAGCGGATGAAGTCGAGGACAACGACTAATTTGGAATATTATGACAGTACGATATTGTGTTATTATATTTCACCTTGTCTGTAAATAACCTCTAAGGAGTCATAGCTAGGTTAGTTTTTTTAGGGTCGTTTAATATATTGAAAAAATAAACAATATTATGAAAATTTTCTTTTTGTAAATAAAATACATAAATGCAATCATAAGATTTTAAATAATACGTATTAAGGTTGAATATATTTAGATGAATGTTTGTTAGAAGGTATCTCCGGAGTGACTTAACAGATCTTGATGAAATTTGACAAAGATGTAGAACACAGTCTGGAAAAACGTTTAGGCTACTCATTTATTTTTTTAATTTTACGTGGCCGGAGTCACGGGCAACAGCTAGTGGATGATAATATAATATTTACTCACCATTACCAGTGGACCTAAGTCCCATATAAAGTAATCTGTTCTTTCTAGACGGTGACGTCATTTTCGCCGAACCTCGCCGGATTCGTGTTTAACCTGCTGGTGACAGGGCTAGCAATCACATACAAAGAACGAGCCAAGCCCTTCGTTCATGTTACTGCTGAAGAACTCGTCTTCGGGTAAGAATTTCACTTTAAGTTGGCAACATGTCACATTTGACGCTTCATTAAAATTAAACAATGTTTTAACGGCGTACATAAATATTATATGTTTTTTGAAAATAGAACGGTACCTCTTCTTAACTTTTTAAAATTTGGTTAAATATTTATCGTTGTCAATTGAACTAAGGTTTTCTTTTGACAGCTACAATGATCCCCTAGTGACGTTGGCGCACTATTTCTACCCCAAAGGCAAACGACCCAACAGTCAGATGGGACTTCTCCTTGCCGTAAGTAAGACCCCCTTTATTTTATTTATACCCCACCTCGTAGACATTAATTATTTTTAAATCGTTTGTTTACAATTATTATTAAAATTATATGATACAATTAACAACCAAAATAAACCTTATTTTTCTTACTACAATTTTTAAATGCCGACATATTTTCATTTATTCGCACAATTTTCTAGGAAATATAACATCTGTTAAATGCAAAATATAAATATAATATCTAAACTTTTTGTTGAACATAGATTAAACATTCTATCGAAGAGGTGGCATAATGGCCACTGAGAACCTTTGCCTTTTAATTTAAAAAAAAATAGAGAACCGAAACGCGCGGGAAATGTTACCAACAAAATGCAGTCGTGGATAGAGTTAGTTGGAATTTTTAATGTCATATATATATATTTAAAAGTATGTTAAAGTAATTAACGCATTTTGGTTGCCGTGCTGTTACTGTAAGGACGTAATATTTGTCACGATTTTTAAAAAGAACGAGAGAGTTGTCTATATTTTTGTTATAAATGGAAATACTTACAATTCAAAATGGAATATTTCCATATGAGACTAAAATATTCAAGCTGTAAGTAAATTGCAAATTTGTGTATTTTCAATAGAGGAACGGCACACTGGATGAGGTGTCGACAATATATTCAGGCGAGAAGATGGATCGCTTCGGCTATCTGGATAAAGTGAACGGATTGGATCACCTACCGCACTGGAGGGATCGGCCATGCAATGACATCAGGTGAGTACCAACTTTAACATTTTAAATGCCTAGAATTTTTATAAAATTTTGGTCCTTGAGAATTTTTGCATCATGACGATTTACTTCTTCATAAGAACGTCGGATAACTAATGAAATTCAAAAATCTAAAAACACTTTAATACGTGGGCATCAAATACGAACCCGTACCTTACAACAATATCGGCTATAAAGACGACTGTTGTTGTTGGTTTCTTGAATGTTGTTGTAAGCGGTTTTTACTATAATGACATAGATTAGGAAACCGTCAGACTGGTTTAATAATAAAAAAATCTAAATAATATCGTAATAATCTTCTTAAGTGTTTATTTCTTGTATTCAATTATATAAAATTATCGCAAACCTTATATATCTTGTTTTATTATTTACTCAGAAACGATTAGCACCTATATTATTATATTGTGTACATAAGAGTTAAAATTATTTAGACGGCTCGCGTTTATTGCATACATTAAATTAACTTAATGGTTTTAAAAACAAAACTATGTTTATATTTAAATGTAACGTGGTTCTCATTGTATTTGCTATTTACATGAGTGAAGTATTTACGAAAGTTATGAGTTATTAGATGTATAATATGTTTTAGTAAATAATATTTTTCAAAATGTTGTAATTAGCATAAAATACTAATAATAATCTCTATATGTCGGTGGGATATATCTGTGTTACTGTTTGTCTGCCTATTGTTTACATGCAGATATACCCTTCTCAACATATTCTACAAAAAAGGCTTGGAAGAGGAGGTAAATTTGACGGAGGAGACAATTTTTAATCAGGCTTAATTCTCTGTCATCATTTACTATGAAAATTTTATTATTTATACCAAATAGGAAGACATTATCACGATTTCAGATTTAATGCGCAAATCAGCGGATCTACGACAGACAACATCGCAATTAGAATAAAATGATGCATATCAGTTTTTATCACGATTGTCCCGCGCGATGTAAATCTAGTGATGTGACACGATGTTATGGAACTTACTAATATTATAAATGCGAATTATGTTAGTTGGTCTCCAGAACATTTTGCATGGATCTCGCTGATATCTCGCATAAATGTAGAGTATAGTCTGAAAGAACACATAGGCTATTGATTTTTTTTTATCTCAAATGGACGGAGTTGCGGGCTCACAGCTAGTGTTTATACATATAAGGTCGAAGGCTAGTATTAGCTAGTAAATTGAAGATTATTGCTGTCTCTGACCAAGACTTTGTCAAACTACGAAATCCTAATTATTTTATAAACCAATATAATGTAGTTATAGATTTTCATATATTTTCAACAAAAGCTATAATTAAAACAAAACATTATTTATTTTTGTGTTCATGATTCATACAATTTCTAAATTTGGTACAACAAGATAGAATGTCAACTTCGACGTACCAAAAAGCACAGACCAAATTGTACCATTTGAAATAAGTCACATCACTATTAAATTTTACGATGCATACACGACATCTTGAAGCAACTGAAGACCTCAAAACAAACAATAAATGTGCACTCGATGTAATTACGACAATGCCGGTATTTCCCTGAGCACTACTCAGAAACGGAAATATGAAATATGACACTAATCATATATAAATGATGTCTCCGCTGACAAACAATGACACGACACGAATCTTTACAGTCAGGGACATTTATTTCCTACCCGGTGATATCTATTAAGGATAGTCGCTAGCTCTGGGGTTAAGCACTTGACTTGCAATCTGCATATCTTGAGTTCGAATCCCGCCATGTACCAATGTGTTTTTCATATATACATTTATCCGAGGTTCTTACGGTGAAGGAAAACATCGTGATGCTGCACATATCTAAAAATTCAGACATGTGTGAAGTCAACCCGCACTTGGCCAGCATGGTTGTCTATGGCCTTATCACCCCTAATTTAGGGTAGCCTCCGAGCCCCTCAGTGGAGACGGATGGCTGAGCTGATGATGATATCATTTAACGCTTAATAATGCACGTGATACCAAAATGGATTTCTTTTTAGCTGTATGGTTTGTATTCCACGTATTGTCTGGTTATGCTAGTAAAAATGTTTAAAAAATGCTTATTTACTACTTGCAAATTTTACAAAACTATTTTTTTTGTTCTTTATGTTAATTAACTTAATCAAAAAGATACATTAGTACTATAATTAGAAAAGCCACAAAAAACCTCAGTTTTAAATAGTTATAAATAAATTTTATCTCGGAATAAAATAGAACGGAAAAACCTTAGAAACTAGGCAATAGTCATGAGTAGTTCGTTAGCACTTTTCAATTATTTAAAGATGTATTGTTCGTTTGATGAGATGTCACAAATATGAATAAATCTTGTTTACAATGTATGAAGTCAGACAACTGAATCATACAGATGTCCCACGTCATTACATAAGAAAACGTACCAAAAACACCGCTAAAAAGTGTTGTTCTACTTAAATACCGATTTCATTCGATACAATAAAATTAGAGCGTTTATGTTATAAAAAAAAACATAATTAGTGGACATGTTGCATTTGCGTTGCTTATAAAGAAAATCCGATTTTTCTTTACTGTCTGTCTGTCCCTAAGTCCTCGTAGCTGTATGCGGGAGTACTATAGTTTTTTTTATTCAAGACTAACAAACTCTGAGACACATAATAAGTTATAATATATATATATATAATATATAGAAAATTTCTTTGTTTTCATATACCAATAAAGAGAAAAATAATTAAAATATCTCCGATTACCAATAACCACATTTACCGTGGGTTTCTGATACCAAAATACCTCGCTTACTTCTGTTTTGTCAAAAATAATGACAGTGATGACAATATGTTTTATACATAGATTTTGGTATCAGAAATCAACGGTTAGAGTCTTATTAAGTCACTAATGATCACCTAAGGACCACTTTGTATTGATTCCTAGTGCTAAATCTACGCTAAGGTTACCTTAACAGCTCCGAGTTGGATAGTTACCTAAAACTGTCTGTTACTTAAGTACGAGAGCTTTCATAATATTATTTAAATAAAAGGCAATCGACACGCAAACGAGTCCGGGACCTTCGTCAGTACAAACAGACGGACAAATACAAGCTATATATATTTACTAGACAAACAAACATCAGTCAATAGTTATGTGCGACAAAGTATGTTCTTATATATTGTTACCACGTCACATCTGCCCTTTTATATATTTCCTTCGTTACATAATACCATGAAGTTGACACATTAATAGATTTATACCCTAAACCCAATAAAGTCTAACCTAGGTAAACGTGAACTGGATAAGCTACAAGAGTCTTTTCGGTCCTGACACACGACCTCCATAAACGAGAAGCTCGGCTTTGACAGAAATCATTATCATCACCAGCTCACTATATGTCACTGAGGGGCTCGGAGCCTGTCCTAAGTTAGAGGTGACTTGGCCATTGTCTACTCTGGCCCACTGCGGTTGGTTGTTACTACTAAGCATTATAAACGAGAAATATATATCGCTATCACTATGAATGATCCTAAATATAGATTCGATAATTATTTTCGCATAAGTAGGCTTTTTGATTGGCATGTCCGGCCAAAATAAACGGTGTACAGGTTGTCCGGATTTTGCTAGGCTTTTTAAATTTCACAAAAGAGAGTGACCGGTGGAATGCAGGGTGGCTTTCTACACAAATATACGGCTAAATTGCATAGTCTGTCCGGCTATTTGGTTTGGCGACCTGGCAACCCTACACGAGTAACTCTATATATAAAACATTACGTAAAGTGCGTCAAATAACAAGAAATTAGCACCTATTAGTAGATATTAACATAAAAAGCTCTAATCATTCCTTGTGACTTAAAATAAACAGACCAATCCAATAGAACTCAACTACCTTTGTTAGAGCTAATTATATTTTTGCACGATTAACCTAATCGTGATCTGTAGAGTAAAACTGCTTTGAAGAAGTCTAGTGTTCTTTCTATTTCCTTCCTTAGAAAAGAAAAGAAGATGTCATGAGGAAAGCATAGGGAAAAAGGATAACTGGTTCCTAATATATAAGCACTGCAATTACTTTGCTTGTTACATTTGCCTTTAACTTTACATCAGGCGTAACCTTAGTTTGCAATCTCTGGTAACATTATCTACGCACAATGAATTCGTTACTTTGTTCCGCAGGGCATCGGAGGGTTCGTTTTTCCCTCCTCGAGCGGTCACCAAGTCGGACATGGTTTACGTGTATGACAAGGATCTGTGCAGGATCTTGCCGCTGCAGTACAGGAACGATATCTACAAAGATGGTGAGCTATTGACAATTGGCAGGCTTCTTTAAGTTAACATTTTTATACTTTTAACGCCTTTTATCAAAGACGAGGCAAGAGTGTATTTTACCCGTTTAAATACATGATATAGGTTCCAAGTATTTGCTTAAAAATATCTAATCTCTTTAAATGTCTTCCATTTCTTAAGTATTTAAAAAAAACGAGTTGAATTCAAACTGCCTTACTGTGGGTTTTCTTATCTTTGACAAAACAGAGATAACAATATGTTTTAAACAAGGACTTTGATCTCAGAAACCCACACTTAAACAGTTTCATAATAACAGCAACTATAATAGACTCTCTTACTTGACAAGATTATTATTATTTTCGGATTCACCAGCAAACAATCATACTATAGAAAATGGTACAAGCTCGCATACACCTTTGAGGTCTAGAAAACTAGCGTACAGTCCTGGAATAAGTGCTAATCTATAAGAATAATTATATTGCAGGTATAAAAGCAGGACTGTACACTCCGCCGAGCTCGACATTTGAGTGCGCACGACTCAACCCTGACAACCGTTGCTACTGCGAGGGCGAGGAGTGTCCGCCGCGTGGTCTGCAGAATATCAGCCCTTGCCAATATAGTAAGTATACTTAGTACTACAGTTTAAGTTATCATCATCAGCTTACTATACGACCCCACTATAGGATCAAAGCCTACCCTAAGTAAGATGCTGGCTTAATGTGGTTTGAGTTCACATACGAGTATATCTTGATTTAGCAGATATGTACAGAATCACGATGTTTTCCTTCACTTAAAAACGTCGAATAAATCTTACTAATATTATAAATGCGAATGTTTGGATGGATGGATTGATTGTTTGAAGATATCTTCATAACTGCTGAACCGATCCTGCTGAAATTTGGTATAGATGTAGAACATAGTATGGAAGAACATATAGGCTACTAATTAATTTTGTTTTTAAGTGCGTACGGTGTGGGGGGCGACAGCTAGTGTTCATATATATATAGAAAAAGACATTGTACATGGGATTCGAACCAAAGACCTGGAGATTACAAGTCAAGTGCTTGAACCGCTGAGCCACCGAAGTTCGTTGTGCAGGATGAAAATATTACTTTCTCTTCCAGATGCGCCAGTTTACTTATCATACCCGCACTTCTATGACGCTGATCCGACGTTACTTGAACCTTTTGAAGGCCTCAAACCTGACAAGAAACGACATGAAACATATTTTTATATACAAGATGTAAGCTACCAACTTAACCTCTCTTACTGTGGGTTTCTGAGACCGAAATCCACGTTTACAGCTTAGCTATGTTTTGTTAAAGATAAAGACAAGGGTGATTGTTTTATATAAAGATTTTTGTCTAAGAAACTCACGGTTATTAACCCAGAAACATAGATTTAGGACTTTTAAGTATATCCATTAGAGACAAAATATTTTTTTTTAATTTTGGAAATTTTTAAAATTGCTATACCTCAAAAGTAAAATAATCTTTTTATTTCCAATTCATATTAATTTAATATTTATGTTTTAGTATTAAAAACAAAAATCTACGTAAGGCGAAAGTCGACTTACACAAAAATTATGAAATTCAGGAACTATCGAAATATATTTATAATCTTACTTCTTACTAATAAATTAAGCGTCAATAACCTAATGGTTAAGGGTACGGATTTCCGATCACGAAGTCGTGGGTTCGAATCCCGCCATTCGACTATTGTCGTAAACCATATCCTAGCACAAGCCTAGAGCTTAGTTGGAATTGTAAAAGAAATATTAGTAAATTTACAAAAAAATCTGCTAATATTTAAAAAAAAATACTATAAATATGAATGTTTAGATGTTTGAAGATATCTCCGGAACTGTTGAACGAATTTCTATAAAATTTGATATATTTCTAGGACGTGATCTACTTATTAGTTTTTTTTTTTAATTCTAGTAAGTAAATTTCTTTCTTCAGAAAATTGGCGTCCCACTGGAGGGTTTCGTGCGTGTCCAGATGAACCTGAAGGTGAACCGCGCTCCCAACATCAAGGTCAACAATATACACAAGTTCCCTGACATCATGTTCCCTGTCATGTGGATTGAAGAGGTGAGGAAATTATAAAAAAAAATACTAATATTCTAGAAATTATTTATCTGAATACTATCTCTAAAAAAATTAGCTACTATTTTATATAATTTAATTAACTAGACTAAACCATGATAATTCTAAAAGAAGTTAAAATTATTTTCCTTCCAAATTTCTAAGCAAAATCAGTCTTCTAATAGTTATTTCAAGCATCTTTATGTTAACAACAAAAAGTAAATTTGTATAAGAGATCTTACTAATATTATAAATGCGAATTAACTCCAGAACAGCTCAACGGATTTTGATGAAATTTGACATAAATATAGAACATAGTCTGGAAGAATACATAGCCTACTAATTAAGTTTTTTTTTTAATTTCACACGGACGAAGTCACGGGCCACAGCTAACTTAAGTAACCTATGTGTTCTTTCAAACTACGTTCTATATGTATGTCAAATTACATCAAGATCCGTTCAGCCGTTCTGAAGATCCATCCATCTATCGATCTATCCATTCGCATTTATAATATTATTAAGATATTCAAACATATGTATTATCCCCAGGGTATCCATGAAGTGACACCATCAATCTGGCGATGGATATTTCTAGCTACAACAGTAGGTCCCATAGCAGCACCACTCATCTGTTATTCCATGATCATCATCGGTCTAACAATACTTATCACAATCTTCGTAAAAGCTTACAAAAACTTTGTTATCGGACAAAATTCCATTGAAATAATGGAATTGGGTAAAGAAACTTTACGCAGAGGATCCACATTGATTATAAATGGATCGCACAAATTAATCCATAAAGATAATGTTTATCAACCATTGAATCAATCTGATCCAAGTCAAAGTGAGGAGAAACTGCACGAGTTAAAGTTCGTGACAAGATCTGAATGTATGGATAAAAGTGGTGATGAAAACAATGATGTTAAAAGTGGATTTGTTAAGTCAAATTTCTTTAATCCGGAAAGAGAGTCGTTAATAAACTCTGACAATTCCTTCATTTTGTCAGAACACAGAAGATGTAGAGTATTTAAATTACCTGATAGTTATTTTAGTTAAGTTCTGATTTGATTATATTCGTATCAATTTGATTGGTAATTAAAGTTTTGTATTTCAAAATCGTGTAATACATTTTTGGATGTATGGATTTGAGGTTATAAAGTTCTTAGCAATGGCTAGAATTTACTTACTTTGGAAAATGGCGCGATAAATTCGTTTGTGTGAAATTGTTGACTGAATCAAATTTCGGTTAAAAACTCAATTAGAATAAACAATTGCTCATCAGAATTATTATAAGTTAATATAAGTTTACTATAAAATAAGTATATTTTCTTTTAGAAAAAGATATATGAAACGTCAAATAAAATATTTAGAAGCAAAATAAAATTGTCAAATTATTTTGACGTTTCTAGGAAACAAGAAAGGGCGGGAATTTAAAAAAAACATCTCGTTTACTTTGTAGGGTTACCATTTAATTTTTTACGATAAATGTTGGGTAAATTTGACTACTTATTTATCTAACATTTGTATTGTGCAATATATTTTGGCATATTGAAACGATAGTTCACCCAAAGTGAGGAAAAACACGTCAATTATTTTACAACTTAGTCAATAAAACCTCATTGGTTATTAAAAAAATGAATTAACAAGCAAACAACTAAATTAATAGCTTATCTATAACAGTTATTTTATATCTTTTTTTTTTTGGTGAAGGAAACAAACAAATGAAATATAAGGAATTAATTCTCATATTTCTTCTAATACTAATCTTAGTTTAAATAATTATTCGAAGAAATACCTCTAGAATATTTTTAAGGTTGATTTTAATTCGAATATGTTACCAAATAGATTTTTTTAATTATTAATTTATTTAGTTTATTGCTTGAAAACCTTGAATATAATCTTATTGTTTCTCTAACATTCCAATTTTTACTTTAAAATGCCAGGAGGATTTTTCTTTCTTTTTTAATTTAATTTGCATATAGGTCGTAATAATTTGTCATTCATTTTAAAATAGCAGAAATTCAAGCTTGTTTTTTTGCCGTGATGAAAAATATATCGACATATCTTAATTTTTGCGTTATAGCAAAATTCAGCAATCGCTTTATTTTACAATGTTACATACACGGTTATGTATCATTATGCCAAAATTGTAATTAGGATAAGACATTTTAGGTACTTAAATAGATTTTATAGGGTGTAAACACTGAGATTCAATGGTGTTGCCATTGACTAGTCGGAATGTTACAAGAAATGTACACGATTGGTTATTTATTGTAAGGTGGAGATGGCAACACGATGATGCCCAGTAAATATGTAGATTCTGATTTGTGATATAAATGTAAGTTTATAACTACATAAGCTATCTTTAGGGTGGGTTTGCACTGTCGGTACACTTGTAATACATTTTATATAATCCCTTAAGTTCTTTTTATACTGAGAACTTAAAAAAGACAATGTTTAATTAACCTTTTAACCGCCTGATTTTATTTACGTCAACGTAATAAAAGAGTACTTTACCCTTAAACATGTGTCAAAATTGCTTTGGGTACAAGTATTTTTTTATTTATTAGTCCAGAATTTCGAATGTCTGCATGCATCTTGACATAATCAATATTACCCAAAAAATAGACACGTGTTTTAACGTTTTGAACGCCGAACGTTGAACGCCTAACGGCTAAACACTCACGTATATTCGTCCGGTGGCGGCACCGACTAGTTCCGAGCCCATCGGGGGCCCTTCTTCAGGCTGAGAGGTACTGGGACGAATATACGTAAGTGTTTAGCCGTTTTTATATAAGTTTATTATAATGTCTCACGAAAGTTTGAATAATTTGATATTACAGACGTTGAAATTCTTATATATTTCACTATAAATATGCATCATCACAGTTTCAAGGTCATTATTGGTCAAGAAATTGGCAACTCTACTAAATCCGCGCCCGGCGTTTTAATCACAGTATAAAAAGGTTGACGTATACAAAAATGTAGATACATAGTCTTTTTTTTGTATACTAAGGTCCAATAGTTTTAAGCTCAAATGTATTTGTATACAAATATCGGCAGTTAATTTCATGGTTAAGACAACTAATGTAAACGTCTTTGTATCAATTAACATGAAAATAAAAAAAAACTTGCTCAATTTAATTAAACGATTATTTATTCTTCGTGTTCAATGCAACTTGTGTGTGAAATGTATGAAATATATTAAAAAAAAAGCTCATAAAAAGCTTTAAATTTGCAAGACTTCTTACTTTAATCTATAATTATAAATTACTATGTTATAAATAAGCCAAGTTAGCAACATTCCAAGGATAAGGGTGTATGTTGAATTTATTTTTTAAATAACTTGTGTAAATAATACCATAATTTTTGTATCAGACAATTTGTTTATAATAAAATAATGGGTAAAATGTAATAGTAGTTTTATTTCATATCAAATCCTTTTAAAATTCTAGAACAGAGGGCCTACCACGAATATTTGCGATAAGCGTCTTCGTATTTTAGTTTGTATCCACACCGCTGCAACCGCTACGTTCACGTCAATATGACAAAAATCAAATAGTCACAAAATACTTCGTCTTATAGCCAATCTATTTATAGAGGTCATTGTGCCAGACTCACAGATATCTAGTCTGTTGCACGAGTCACTACACAAATTAAAAATTTAGGTGTGTTTGGTTGTAGCGGATTATGGGAGGTGAGCTCCGCACAGACACTGATGACCTTGACCCGCCATAATATTGAAAAGTCGACACATTATCGTGTTTTCGTACAAGTACACTAAAAATTTGACATAATTGTCGATGGCCAAACGAATGCAATTGTCAAATATGTGTTAGGCCTATTAAAAACAATTTTGTATAGATTTTTCCTAGAAAATATAAGTAACCGCGATATTCCAAATTCGGTACATTTGCACGTTGTAGTAACTATAACGTGCAAATGTACCGAACAATGAGGTTAGGATTTAAAGGATAGGATAAAGTAAACAAATATATTTCAGAGAGACTGTAGTTTATTGACTAGTAAAATATTATGCCATATTATATATATAATCAACTTGAAATGTCTCTTACAATATCTAAACAAGCGCGTTTCCTTTACAACTATAGTATACTAAAAAGTGGACATTTTTCGCTATACTTTATATAATACTGAAATGTCTTGGAAACAAACGTATAACGGTACATTTACGTCACTTCAAGACACGTTTCGTTAAAATAGTTTAAAAATACATTTTATTATCACTACATATAAGTATACATACGTAATTAAAATTTATCGTAAAAAAATGTTATTTTTGTCACTATCAAATTACGTATATCCGTTCCTTCGTATAACTGACGATATCTTATAAGTAAATATTAAGCCGTACCATTTCAAATAATAACTTTTAAAACGCATAAAATCATAGTAAAAATATATGACCAATAAAATGGTACATTATTGCTTAGAAAATTACATATCTTTAGAGTTGCCAGTCGCTTAGACTTAACCTAGAAATAAGCAAAAATTGCATTGTGTAATTTTTAGACTAGCCATTTAATTATTTTAAATTAACTTTAAAAACGTAAGAAAATATTTCAACAGCAAAAAAATATGATTTTATTAACAAATTTATCTTTTATTTATTTTTACACTGAAATTAAGAAGTGGAAAAACAGGTTAAAATAACCTAAAATAAATGACTGTTTTGTAAAGAAAAATCAATTAAATTGATTTCTTACTTACTTGTTAGCGTAAAAAATGTAATAAGAACCGCAAGCAAGTTTTGAAAAAATATCCAGAATTTTTTTATCAATAGTTCTCAAAATACAGGCAAAAATGTATTAACAACAGTTGAAAACTACATCCGAACATTGCTAATATGTAAATTCTATAATTTTAAAATTGCTTTTTGTTTTTCCTATTTTAAAAAATAACTATCATCAAAGGGCTAAAGGAAAAGAAGTACTTTATTATTGCACAAAATCTTAATTGGAATATTAATATGTTTTATTATTACAATGGAGAAACTTCGTATACATAAAAATCGTATTTTGAATAGACTTCGCCTCGCTCTAAATTCCCCTTAAAAGCTGACATTATCAAAGTCCGAATTAAAAATTTACATCTAAATTTAAAATGTTCGATATATTTAACGCGTATACAGTTTTTTGAATCATGAAAATCTTTCAGTATACAATCTGTTATCGTATATTTTTCGTATAATCGTTTAAAATACTTACAAATACATTAATCCTACACTAATATGGCTGCACGAATTAAAAAGAAAACCATAGGCACGATGAGTATATTAAAACTTATGCTTACAAATAAATACAATTTTCTGTCTATGGACGGTATTGTCTATAGTTTTTTTCGTGGTAAAAATATTCTTATTACTATTTCATTTTGTTCAGTCAGCAAACAGGGTGGAAACGAAAAACATAAACTACTTTACTCACAACCGGCTTAAAAATTGACAAACACCTGTTCACAAGCGTTATCAAAATAAAAGGCATCGACAATAGCTGCAAACTATACCTTACGTATACATTGGGGAAATTTCACTTTACATATGGCAACACCATCCGACTTGCCATTTATGAGCATTGTCAAAAATTCAAAGATTATTCCATACGTTCACTCAGTAAAATATCTTTGACCCTTATAATAAAGGAAATCGACTAAAAACTGTCTTCATGAAACACTCATTTATAACCTTTTGTTTTTCTAATAATAAAACAAATAAAAAACAACTTTTAATTACATTTTGACGTAAAATAGATGGTGTTGCCATATAACTAATAGAATATATCATCTGCAGACTTATTTACATGGAAGATAATCGTCCGCAAAATGATTAATTCCATTTCATTATAATCCGATTCTCAGGATAATAAAAAATAATTAATTTTATCTATACATTGTTGTTAATATCAATAATGTCTATGAGAATCGAATTATTTATCAAAACTTTGAAATTCAAACACAAACTATGCAATATTTTAAAGACGTCATATTTGTTAATTCTGTTTAAATTTCATTTTTTTTTTTGTTAAGTCTGGTTTTCCTTATTGCATAGTCTATGTCAGAATTCCTGTAATTAAAAAAAAACTCCCGCCATATCCGTAATATTATCAATAAAGCGTAAAATGTAAGAATATTTAGGAATTTTAAAATAGTGAGGTACGAATTACGTATACAAGTTTCTATGCTATCACTTACAACTATGGTATACACAGTAACAATGTCTTTTTATTAAAAAAAAAAAAAGGTTGTCATGACTTCCCGCCAAATGACAAGTCTCTTGTTTATGGATTTTATAATTAATTTACGTCTTTACAAGTTAAACAACTCCTGAGTTTTTTACTTCGTTTTAATTTCATGATTTGATGAACGAAAAACCGTCATATATTTTTTAGGTTATGATTTTATTTGGATATAAGATTTTTTCTATTGATATCGTCAAATAATTTTTCAATAAACAAGAGGCAATTTGTATATACTTTAAAATCAAAATATTAGACAAACTTTTCATACATGCACTCAATTTTAATTAATATTACAAAATTACGACCGAATACTAAATAATCATGTTGGAAAGGGTACTTTTCTGTTTTCATTTATTTTTTCTTCCACAACAATTTTCTTACTTTGACTTATACCCACCGGTTCAGAGCCTTGTCTATCTATATATATAAAAATCAATTGCTGTCCATTAATCTCGTTAAAAATTGAGAACGGCAGAAAGGATTTATTTTGATCTTAAAACGTGGAGGTCTAGGGAATGTTTAAAATGTGTGAAAATATAATTGCCGGAAACTAATTTTTGTTTTTATTCCACGCGGACGGAGTCGCGGGCGACAACTAGTATGTAATAAAATTACCGTGACGTTATGGTATTCGATTGTAAATGAGAAGCGAATTAAATTGTCTGACTGTTGTTTAGTGCATGCTCTGCTGTATGGGGTAGGCAGGGTCGCTGGACTCCTCGTGCTGACTCTCCTGCTCCTCACCTGACTGCTCGCCATCTTGTTCTTCATCCTCAGATGATGATAATAAACCTGGAATAAAAAAACAAATATTTAAATAAAAAATAAGAGTTATAATCTTGTATTTAATTTTTAAAAAAAAAGTAAGCATCAGATCACTATTACGTCCCCACAGAGTGGCTTTAAGCCTTTCCTAAGTAAGGTGACTACACCATAGTCAATGCTGGCTCAGTGCTGGTTGACTTTACACTTATCTTTGAGTTTCTTCTCAGATATGTGCAGCATCACGATGTTTTCCTTCACCTTAAGAAGAAGAAGACGTCGGATAAATGTACGTATGTATATCGGAAATCGAAAAACACATTGGTACATGGCGGGATTCGAACCCAAGTCCTGTAGATAACAAGTCAAGTGATTTAACCCCAGAGCTCACAAAAGGATAATTTATAGTAGAATTGGAGTAACCATTAACCTACTCTGAGTATCCAACTGACCAATAATCGTGAGACGTCACTTACCCGCCGTGTACTGTGGGTTGGTGAGCGCGTCAGGCCAATACCTTTTGCTTATAGACGAACCATTTTTACTTTTCTTTCCTCCTGTAATATTAATTAAGGAAATTATTTAATACTAATATTGCAAAGAAGAATTATTTGTTTACTGTAAACTACGGAATCCATTTGAGAAATTTCACTGTAGGAAGTTAGATTATCTCCGGGTGACATAGCCTATGTTCATTACATGATTTTTTGTATTGCGTTGACGCGATATCTATATATATAAAAGAAAGTCGTGTTAGTTACACTATTTGTAATTCAAGAACGACTTTACCGATATGGTTGAAAATTGGTGAGGAGGTAGCTTAGAGCCAGGAGACAGGCATAGGATACTATTTATTGCTTTTTTTATTTTAATTTTTTCGAATTCATTAAGTTATATTTGGAATGCTTCATCGAAGAATTTTCTAAGACAGAAGCAAGGCGATGCGTTCCTGGGTATCCGGATGCTCTAAGCTAACTCCTCCGAGGAACAGAGTTCGCCGCGTCAGCTAGTTTACTCTATGTATAGACTATGTACTAGTTATATCATTTTGGTAATAATAACTCCACTGGTACCGGCTTATATCGTTTAGTTTAGTCTCTTTCTATAGAACCCAAGCAAAGATGTCTAAAATAATGATATTGCCAGAATCAGTGTAATAAGGAGTGTTAGGGGTCTGTGTAGTCCGTGTGGTGGGATGTGGGGGGTGTTGGTACCCGGCTTGTCGTTGCAGTCCAGCATGGGCTGCAGGATGCGGCGGCGCGCGTTGATGAACCAGTTGTTGACCTGCAGCAGCGTCAGCCGCGTCTGTGCCGCCAGGGAACGCTTCTCCTCCTCTGTCGGGTACGGGTGCTGGAACATTATACCATAGGATTATAGCAAAATGAGATTTGTAGTGTTTTAAAGGAAGGAAGAAAGGTTGGCAAACGACTGAATGAACGTTTACTTGGTAAACAAATGGATATGTTGCCTTCCTTTAATCGACAGAAGAGGGGACACACAGAAAGATAATATTTACCCTTTTTTATGCGTCCGCTCGTCCGTCAAATCTACTTCTCAAAGGAAAATGGGACTAAAATTTGGCCAATGCACACTTAATAGATGGAACCCGGAATTCCACTTGACGTCTGTCTTCTGTGTCTGGCCCTTTTGGACTGTTCGCTCGTCCTGGTAACCCATGGTTCAAGATAGATTGATGCTCACCACTAGATGCTGGAAGAGCCAGGCTCGCATGGCCTGCGTGGCGTGTCGGGGCAGCACGCCGCGCTTGCCGCCCTCCTCCTCGTCGTCGGGCGGGGGCGAGCCTGACAGAGAGGAGCACGACTGAGACAGCGCTGACTGGTTCGATGTGCTCGAGTTTGTGCCTGTACAAGATAAATCTAAAATACTAGCTGCTTAGAACATCACACGAGTCACTCTTTGCTGTAGTAGAACCGGAGGGTAGCGGGGGAGGGCACTACGCAAAGCTCAAGGTCACCTGCTAATTTTTAAGGGCGAATAAAACCTCTTTTCGAATAACAATATTCAGGTGGGATTTGAGTCAGACGTACTTACGTTTTGCTATCTTTAATATAGTGGAGAGGAGATATATCCCTAAATTTGTCTAAATCAGACATGAATAGAGAAATGGAAGTGTTGAGTATTTAGTTCCTTCCTCAGATGTATTTAGGTGGTAGAAATGGTTTACCTGTGAAGGTATCAGCCGCCACCAGCCCAGCTCCGATCTGACTGATAGGTGTGGACCCCTGCACCACCATGGATGCTAGAATACAACATATTTATTTAAACGTGAGTTTCCACTGTCATGTAACAAAAAATGTCTCATTTATGTGCAACATTTAACAAAGATTTTGTCATAGTGACCGTATACATTGTTGTATAAAATAAGTGGGAACATGTTAAAATTACTTTGAAATAAGTATTTTCTTGTTGTTTCTTTTGACAGTAACAATATCACAACCACACAGAAGACAGGCGTCAAGTGTACGTCATTCCGCGTACAGTCTGATGAGTGCAGTACCGAATGTCTAATTTTAGTCTTCTTTCCCTTCCCATCCTTGTCGTATAAGAGAATAATGGAAAGAAGTGGATTTTGTTAATTGCAAATGTCTATGGTTAACGGTCGCTTAGCTATTTCAGCGAATTGGGGTGGCAGCTTGCTTATTTTCAACCTTCTTACTAATATTATAAATGCGAATGTTTATATGGATGGATGGATGTTTGTTTGAAGGTATCTCCGGAACTGCTAAACAGATCTCGCTGTAATTTGGCATACATATAGAACATAGTCTGAAAGAACACATAGACTACTTAGTTTTTTTTTATTGATGGAGTCGCGGGCAACAGGTAGTACTGACCGGGGTCTCTATGTGTCTGCGCGTAGTGCATGTCTGCGGGCGCGTGCGGGGCGTGTGCGGGGAGCGCGGCGTGCGGGGGGAACACCGCGGGGTACGTCGCCGCCGCTAGGGGCGCTGGCGGCGACTGCAAGGTACAAACAATTTTTATTTCTATTTAAATAAACAAATACACATAACAAAAAAATTACATTTCATTCAAATTTCCGTTTTAAAATTAATTAATTTATCTCAAGATAGATTTATAAAATAAAAAAAATATATATCAGACTTATGTTTTTTTAAAAAGAACAAAGGTTATAACGTTTTATACTAGTATTTCGACATTAAAAACCAATGAAAACGAATAATAATAAACATTGCAATGGACATACTTTTGGTACCTGATACTGCGGTGAGTTGCTGGTGCTGGAGTGGTCGTCCATTGTGCCCGACAGATTATTGTTGCTCTCTATCCCACCTGCAACGTGTGACAGAGACAGCTATAGATACACGATTGGTACAATGACTCTCAACATGGTGCAAAGAGCCAACGAAACTGTACATTACGCTGTAGTACGTAAGAAATAAATTTAAAATCTTTGGTTATCTTACTAATATTACAAATGCTAATATTTAAATGGATGGATGGATAGATGTTTGTTAGAAAGTAGTCCAGACCTGCGTAGATCTTGCTGAAATGTGGCACAAATGTCGAATATAGTCTGGAAGAACCCATAGGTCTATTATATTTTGTTCTTTTAAATCCCGCGTGAACGGAGTCGCGGTCGACAGCTAGTATACTTGAAGTAACACAGAGTAATGTTCTAGAATGTGTGACCTGAGGTATAGTCTGTGCGGAGTAGGTTCTCGCTCTGCATCTTTGTTTTAAGGCAGGCGATGTATCGGCCGCAGAAGTCGCGGCACAACTCCTGCACTTTCTCCAGCTCCAGCAGGTGGATCCGCAGCACCTGGAAGTTGACAATCCTTCACTGTAGAGAGCACTTTATACTTTGAGACATTATTAGTTAGAATCCTTTGGCGCGAATGTCGCGCTTTCGTTACAAAGTCAAGTGTCTGAGTGATTAGTGAGGGGACATAAGCGTCGACATTTTAGTAGGCCTGTACGCCGGCTCACTGTCGGATTTTCTTCCTAACAATACTTAGTAGCAGTAGGAGGATAAAAGAGTCTTATGAAAATTTAAGAACTGTCAAATTAAACCCCCATAAAGCTACTCACAAACGTATAGTTATTAATAATTCTTAGTAATACAGTATTTTACCTGTATACTTTTAATCATGAGTCCGTCTATCTCTGGGTCGTCGACGAGGAAAGGCCTGCGGTCGCGGCGCTGGTGTTGCACGAACGCCTGCAAGTCAGCACCGAATGCGTCCGCGGCGGGCGCCTCCGCCCCCGCCGTCGCCTGCTCGCAGCGCTCCAGCAGTAACGCTAGCAGCGGGAACAGGGGATGTCTGAAATGAACCAAACAGGTTGAAAAGATAAAGGCAGACTTACAAAGAGAGATTGACCAAAACTTTAAACTGACGTGATACATTGCTTGCATTTCATACAAGAATAAACAATGCCCTTTAGATACCAAGATGTAAAAAAATATGCAGCAAGTTGTACAAATTAAACTTACTTATAAACAGCGCGCTTGTCCGCCTCGAACTGCGCCTGGTCGGCGTCCGCGGCGGGCGCGCCGCCCTGCATCCCGCCGCGATCACCAGCTGCGCCGGCGCATCTGCACATATACATACATCTTAAATAGGCATACACATAAAGATGTCCTTAACTATATTCCGAATATGTTTTAAACTAGAAGTCAGGCATGGCGTAATCGGCAGGCTTCTTAAACGAGGTTTAGGCTAAGTGCCATCTGCGCTCGGCCACCTCAAGCCCGGTGAAGCAGTAAATGCCTCCTCAAGGCAAACAGTGGCAATTAGTCACAAACCAAAAAAAATCGGCAGGCGTCCGACATAATCCGATCCTGCCACCAAGTCATGCCACTACATTGTTCTCATATAATTAAAAAAAACTATTGAACAGGCGGGCAAAGTTATGTATATGGATTGTGACGTCAATCGAGTATCTTCATAGCCCATACACTTTAGTCAAAATCATAAAAAAAAACATTATAATCTACATCATTTAAACCAGTCTTTCCCAAAGTGGGCGATAACGCCCCCTTGTGGGCGCTGCAGGTCTCAAGTTGCGGGTTATAGTAAAAGTTTCGTTTACAATTCTCCGTTAATATACATATATAGGTCACAATAATTAATTAATATAATTTGAAGTTATAGTGGTTTTTAAATATGTGAAAATATGGTGGCGCTAAAAAAATATTCATTCTCAAAGTGGGCAGTAGACAAAATAAGTTTGAGAACCACTGGTTTAAAGTGTCAATAACCTTTGATCATTGTAATGTTCAATTGAACTTCAATTCGCTCGTGTCAAGGTCAGGGCGACAAACGCATGTTTCCATTGTATTTGAACAGACTCAAAATGACGCGACACCCAATACAAATAGTAACTTCGGAACCGTTCGGTGCTCGATCTGCAAACTACACACAGTGGAAACGCGCTTTAAAGATGGTAAATCCATCTGCCCGTCACCTCTGTGGGCAGACTCTGATTGAGTTATTGTAAACATTCATTCAATTTAGAAATTGGTCAATTGTGATTTTAAAATTATGTTTTCTTTATTAACAATACGAAGTATTGGACGTTTTTTGTTCTTACATTTCCATATCTTTTAGAGACATAAAAAGTTAGCGTATCTTCTTGTAAAAACACTTAATTAGTTGGTTATAAAATTGAACGATGACAAATAATTAATTTAAAACAAACAAGCCATGAGTAGTGCCAATCGTCTTCAAACAAATCTATCTAGAAAAACAAACTATCATAACAATGCAATAAAACATAACTGAACGCGAAATAACACCCGTAAACAGGGAATAAACACAACATGGCAACACGGACTCGACCTCTCTACTGTTAGGGTTGCCACTTATTGAAAAAAATTATTTATCTATTCGATTACGAATCTTTCTAAAATTATAAAAGTTAACAAACTTGGGATACATTAAAGTAAGTTACTTTCATTTATAATTAACTAGCTGTGCCCTGCAACTGCGTCCGCCCGCAATAAAAAAATCTTAATTAGTAGCTTGTGTTTTTCTAGACTATGTTCTATATCTGTGTCAAATTTCATCAAGTTTGGCCGTTCCGGTGATAATTTCAAACAAAAATCCATCTCATCTATCCATCCAAACATTCGCATTTCTAATATTAGTAAGATATTTAGTAATTTTTCCGGTACTTTCATTAAAAAAAAAATTGTCAATTGTTAAATTAAAAAACAAATTATTTTATTTTGTACTTGTCATAAATCTAGCAACCCTGCACTAGGAGAAACTTGCGGAGGCAATAAAAAGAGATATTAAAAGCGAAGAGACATTCATCACAAGTGTTGCCAGATTGATATAAGATACCCAGAGTTACCCTACCCTGCTACGTAGTACCTAAGTACTATAATATTGTCTTACGACTACCCTACTTTACTACTATATTGTCTTTAGTCTTTAAATTGGCGAGCCATTTTTATTTAATTTACCTACGACCGAGTGACTAGTATCAATGAAGAATACTCTGTTTAAAATTTCTAGATATTTTAAGTCTTCTATATATATTTCTAGAACAAAATAAATTGTCTCCTGTACATAAAAAAATTAACCCTCTTACCTATTTTACTAATCTGACGTTTTACCGTGGGTTTCTGACACCTAAATGTCCCTTTAAAAGATATAGTGATCTCTGTTTTATCAGTGATAATGACAGGGATGACGATATGTTTTATACAGAAATATTAATCTCGGAAACCAATGGTTAGTTTTCTATCTTAATGGAAAATCGGATATGTCTTATAAAACTCAAACCTAGTTGGCAATTAAACAGCCAGCAATATTACGGCCATAATCTTTCCAAAAAAAAAACGGACGAATTGACAACCTCCTTCTTTTTAAAGTCAGTTAAAAAAATTAATCAGCACTATATCTTTTGGCGTTGAATTTCGAGTGTAATTTGACAAAGTTTGATGCAGACACTTACAAGATTAGCTTCTTGAAATTGTTGCTCCGAGGCCCGCCAGGTGGCGCCCGATATTGAATTAACTTTAAATTTACAAGCCTTGAAATCTTTTATTCACTTTAATCAACATCTTTTGGGTCTTATTTTATGAAAGTATTCACTTTAAAATAAAATACGAACGAAAACTTAGGAGCGGGAGTAACATTTTATCTGTGACAAGAAAAATGTGGCTTCTAAATTCAAATTCAAAATTTAAATTTGGAACACGATAAACCAAAGAGTATTTTATATAAAAAAAACTAAAATATCAAAGTAAGGCTAATTTAAAAAGAAACATAGAAAGTTTAAATTTTTAACCAGTTATTTCTTTCGCTAGGAGTGCAATTAAAATATAAATTACGTAACTTAATTTCTTAATTCCGCTTAAGATATACACTAGCGACAGTATTCGCGTCTTTGTATGACACCGATCAATTGTTAACTCCATCAGTAGCCAAACCGTTTTTCCTTAATAAACTTTACCAAACCATACTATTCTTACCATACAACAGGACAAACAGCATGCAAAATATTTGATCATCTTTAAACCACCGTTGAATAACGGCTTAAAACTAGTTCTGCAACATCTCCAAGCAGCAGAGCCAGCAGAGGACGCAGGAAAGGAGGCATTGCCAATCTCCTGTCTCGAAAGTCCACTTTGAGTCAATGCGTCACCGGATTAGCTTTACTTTTAGATGATATTTTAACGTACAATTTCGATTACTAATAATCTGCCTAGACCCATCACAATCTTACGAAGATTACAATCTGTCAGTGGCATGTCGTTGAACTTAAACCATCGCCCGTCTGCACAAAGACGTTCCGACTAACTTCGGGAGCTTGGGATCCAGACGAACTGATAGTGGAATTGTTAGGGACACAGTTAACGAGTTGAGTAGTTTTAATTTGGCAGGATTATCTCGATTACATTTAAGAACAATGCGTATAATTTGATTATTTAAATAACGATTCTATTGTGATTGTTTTGATTTTCGGCAGAATTTAAAAACCTTTTTTGTCTAATACATTTACTGCCGCTACAATTTTAACTTTTTAATTAGTTGATGTAGATAAATTCGGTAGCACTGAATGTGTCAATTATTATTATTCAATCTTCTTTAGTTCTCTTTTAATAATATAGTATTTCTTTAATAATAGAACAATAAAAAAGTTGTCTTTATTATTTTATTTATTCCTAACCTAAACTAATTTGTAAAATTTTAAAGACTTTACTTTAATTCCCTGACTACATTGTAATCATGCAAGCCTTAGATTACGTGTTTAAAACGACTACGAAAAAATGAACGTTGCGTGTAGTACATTTTTTCGGACATTGCATAAATCTTCCGGGCAATATTGTGTGCAATAATTTGTAACAAATGCGTTACTTTTGCGTAAATATAATCAACTAATATAAAGATGAGTAAGCGATATCTTTACTACATATGTCCGTCAAACAAGGGAGCAACCAACATTATATTTTAGTGGTCTATAAGATATTATGTTGTGATAATGGTCGTGCAAATATATTTATAATGGTTGATAAGCCAGTCACCCGTTATTCCTGAAATTTACCTTCTACGACATATTTTAGAACCTAAGCCTACGTCCCGTAGCATTTAACTGCTCTCTCCCACTACTGATACTACTAACACTAACACTCTCTCTCTCTCTCGCTATCTCTCTCTCTCTCTCTCGCTATCTCTCTCTCTCTCTCGCTATTTCTCTCTCTGCCCAGCTTTCATCCCACAACGTGGTGTCAGCTTTTCCAACTACTGGATAGAGAAATATTTCCATCACAATTTTTCTAATTTTAAAAAGTTCATATCTTGTGTTGGGAATAAAATCCGAAAATGAGGCAGTGTATTGACCGTCGGGTCTAGTTGGACTAGCCTTACTAAAATGTCGACGGTTATGTCCCTATTCATTCTGATACTGGACTTTGTAACGAAAGCACGTCATTCTCGCCAAAAGTAACAACGAAAAAGAATAATACAACCACATATAAACAAACAAAGAAACAATTACTTTAACGTAGGTAAAAATATTTAAGGTTATCAACGCTTTCAACAATATGGCGGGTAAGATGGACGCTAAACGCGCGGGAAAACTATGCGCGTATCTTAGTCAGCAATTTGTATGCTCCGTTCTGAACTATAAACGCGGCCTAATTCGCCCCCTTTTCCCTTATTTCCGGTGGAGCGTGAGGGAATAATTATCTTCCGCTTATTCCTTGCCGTCATGAAAAAAGGGAACGAAACATTTTGCTTCTCTCTACCGAATTCCAACTAAAGATAGTGCTACACTTAGCTTAATTTATAATACGTTGAAAGCAACCTTAAAACCAGTTTATTTTCATTAAACAAATTGTGGCATTGTTAAAAATATATTTTTTTAACTTTAAAAATTCATATTTTATATGAAAATATTAAAAACTCCACGAATCTTTAAAATATGCCGACATGTCAAAGTCAGATGTAATTAAATAAATACATTGTCATAAAACTTAGGCTTGGTGTGTCTTCATCTTGAGCAATATTTACCTAGTAAGGGCGAATGGGATGTGCAAAGGAACGAAGCCTTGTTAATAACGAAATATAATCTTCGTCCTAG